TGATTGTTTCTTTTAAGAATATTTATTTATTTGTTTGTTTGTTTATTTATTTAAATTTGACCAGAGAGGGACAGAGTGAAAAAGAGAGAGAGGGGGAAAGTGAGAAAGCAAGCTGCTAGGTCCAGGACTTGAACTGTAGATGACCATGTATGATTCCAACACCCTTAACCACCGTGCTACCTGCTGGCCCCTTTATTATTTTTTAAATAATTATTTTATTTGGTGGGGCCGGCAGGTGGCGTGGTAATGAAGGGCACTGGATTCCCACAAGACTGACCACGGTTCGAGTCCTGGACCTGGTGGCTTACTTTCTCATTTTCCCTTTCTCTTTCTCTGTCTCTCTCCAGTCAAATTAAAAAATAATAATAACAAGTGGAATTAAAGAAAGAAAGTAAGAAAGAAAGAAAGAAATCTTTAAAAAAGAAAAGAATTATTTTACTCGGGACCAGCAGTTAGCATAATGGCTGTGTCGCTGGACTTCCATGTAGTCGACCACCGTTCAAGTCCCAGACCTGGTGGCTTAAACTCAGGCCGGGCGCGTGTGCGTGCATGCCCAAGATCCCGAGAGGACAATGGAGGAGAAGGGATTGCAGCGTGGCCATCCCCCCGGGGCGGGGGGTGATTTCTCGCTTTCTGTCTCTCTGTCTCTCTATCTTTCTGGCAAGAGCATGCACCCTATAGCAAAAACCTCTCAAAAAAAAAAAAATTAATTATTGTATTTAATTATTTGGTCTTGGTGTTTTTATCTGCCTGCTGTCTGACGTTCCTAGATGGTGCTGCTATTCGTCTTGTTTCATACTTTTCATATCCCCTCGTTCTCCTAGATCCTGTCTGTAATGGAAGCCCATCATCTGTCCTTTGAAAGGAGGCAGAAGTCTTCTTCAGAGGTAAGTCACCACAGCTGTGCTGGTCAGTCATGGTAAAGCTCAAGGGCCTCCTCTCTGGTCTCCACTGTCTGTGTGCCCATGTGTTCTCTTACCGGGCTCTGCTGCAGGTCCCCACGCAGTCCCCGCAGCGTTCTGTGGACTCCCTGAGCCAGGGTTCCTCCACCTCCAGCTTCTCCTCCGTGTCGGCAAGCTCTAGACCAGAGGAGACCAAGAAGGACTACAGAGAGGTGAGGCTTCCGGGTGGCCCTGGTGTTACAGTGCCCGTTACAGACCCAGGCCTGACTGGATGTGTGTTGCTCCTGACTTCTTGCAAAGTCTGTGTAGACACTCACAAGTACACACACATTTGTTTTTTAAAAATAATTATTTAATTTTATTTGTCATTATTATTTTTTTTTTTGAGAGATTTTCACTGTAGGGCGCGTGCGATCGCCAGAAAGACCGAGATACACATAGAGAAGACAGAAACCGAGAAATCACCCCCCAGGGGGGATGGTCACGGCGCAATCCCTTCTCCTCCATTCTCCTCTCAGGATCTTGGGCATGCAAGCACACGCGCCCGGCGTGAGTTTTAAGCCACCGGGTCCGGGACACGAACCGCGGTCGACTACGTGGGAGTCCAGCGACATAGCCATTACGCGAACTGCTGGTTCCCTATTTGTCATTATTTTAAAATTTGACCAGAGAGAGACAGAATGTGAGAAAGCAAGCCATCAGGTCTGGGACTCGAACCATGGTCGACCATGTGGGAGTCCAGTACCTCAACCACTGTGCCACTCATGGCCTCACACACATTGCCTTTGTAAGAGCTTGTAGCCTGGGGTCAGCAAGGTGGTGTAGAGGTTAAGGCATCTAGATCCCATATGGCCAACTCTGTGGTTACAATCTGCGGTGGCTTAGAAAACACGTCAGGGGTGTGTGTGTGTGTCTAAAATCTCCTGAGGATCGAGAGGGGTGGACTGTGATGGAGGATGGACTGTGACGTGACCATTGCCTCCTGGAGGTGATCTCTCACTTTCCTTCTCTGTCCCTTTCTCTGGCAAGCACATATACCCTATAGCAAAAACTTAGCTGGGAAAAAAGCTTATAGCCTGTGGTTTTTTTTGTTTTTTTGTTTTTCTTTTGTGCATGCACGTGCATGAGAGAAAATGAGAGAGTGAGAAAGAACTTCTAAGTGTAGTCAAACCGCAATCCCTTTTCTTCCATGTCTCCATCCTCCTGGGATTTTGGGCATACACGCATACATGCCTGGTGGGTTTGTCAAGCCACTGGGGCCAGGATTTGAACTGCAGTCAGCCGTGGGCTCTGGCTCCCAGTGTACAGTGCCCAACCCCTGCCCTGTGGGGCTGACCCAGCTTGTAGCCTGTTTTAACTCTGTTTAACTTACCTTAGAGCCAGTAGAGCTGCCTCCTCCTTTAACTGGAGAGTGGACCAGTGTATGATTTCCGCACGCCCCTCCTTTGATGGTTCTCCCATGGCTGAACCCTCACTGACTGCCGTACTGTCCCTCCCCCACTCCCCCCAAGCCAGGACGTGCTCTTGGAGGCCCAATAAACTTGGCTCGATGCAAAACCACAGGAAAGGAGGCCAAGATTCGTAGCTTAAAGTCTGACAGAGACCTGACGTCCTCCATGGTGGGCTGGGGGGGGTGTGTGTGGTCGTACCATACGTCACCCCAGCTGGTTGAGAACAAGAGCTGAGGGTGTGTAGCTCTTAGTCACTGCTAGCCAGCAGATTAGGGAGTGCTTACGTTTCAGGGCAACTGCTGTCACACCTTTCCACCCAAGTGACAATGACATCAGAGTAGTACCTTGCACGATGGTGAACACTAGTCACTTCCTAAGTGCCCTGTGTGAGCAGTTTTGGGGAAGTGCTTAAAAAGATGCTAACTGAAATGTTAAAACAGCACGAGTCAGACAAATGAAAGCTAGATTTCTAGAATGTTTATATAATTTCTATTATTATTTTAGTTAATTATTATCGAAGTTTGCTATAGGGCACATGTGCTCACCAGAGAGAGACAGAGAGAGGGAGATAGAGAGGGGAAGTGGGAAAGCAAGAAACCAGGCCAGGTCCGGGACTCGAACCATGGTTGGCCATGTGAGAGTCTAGTGCCTCAATCAGCATGCCACCTGCTGGCCCCTATAATTTCTATGATTAAAATAATTTTCCTCACATTCTTTTTCCTTTTTTTAAGGTAGAAAAACTTTTAAGAGCAGTTGCTGATGGAGATGTGGAAATGGTGAGTCTTAGAAGAATGTTTTAAAATTCCTGCTCTTGGTCTAAGACCGCTACGGCTGTGTCTCCCGTCTCCAATTCCGTCGCTAGCTGTGCGGCTTCTGCGTTTCAGTGTCACACAGACGGTGATGCGTTTCATGACTAACGGTAACAGTGTGTGCTCTCCCAATATGTAACGAGGAGATGTACCTGAAGGCACGTAGAGGCCATGGTCCCTGCCTCTTAGACACTCGTATTCTGGGAATGTGGAGATGCTGGCCAGACCACTCGCCTCCAGAGCCTGAGCGTGAGTGCAGAGACCAGGCCCACTAGCCAGGGAGCAGGCGAGCAGCCTGGTTTTAGACGAGGGCAGAGTTGTGGGGAGGGGAGGACGTGGTTGTGGTTAGGGCGGAGCCCAGAGGCCTGTGCGTGGTTCTGCAGGAGTTGTGTGTGGGTGGTGTGACACCTGGTCCAGGAGACTCAGGTCTGAGGTGTGGGGCTCCAAGGAGTCCCAGGCGGGTGTTTAAATGAGATAGTGTTGGCACCTGCAGAGGACAGCTCAAGGGAAGGCATCTGTTTAAACCATCTGTTGGTGACAGGGCACATCTCATAATGGGGTCAGTGGGCAGCAGAGACAGCTATCCTTAGATCCACAGGCATTTTCTCTTGGCTTGTCTTTGACTTCCTAGAATATGTCTCCTAGTGTTTTCTCTTTCTCTCTCTTTTTTTTTTTGGAGAGGTTTTTGCTATAGGGCGCGTGCGCTCGCCAGACAGAGAGAGACAGAGAGACAGAAAGTGAGAAATCACCCCCCGGGGGGATGGTCACGCCGCAATCCCTTCTCCTCCATTCTCCTCTCAGGATCTTGGGCACGCATGCACATGTGCCCGGCATGAGTTTAAGCCACCAGGTCTGGGACTCGAACCATGGTCAACCACATGGGAGTCCAGTGACATAGCCATTACACTAACTGCTGGTCCCTCCGTGTTTTCTCTTTTTTAAAAAGAATTATTTGTTTGATTTTATTTATTATTATTTTTAAATTTGCTATAGGGCACGTATGCTCACCACACACACACACACACACACACACACACACACACACACACAGGAAAAACAAAACCACACCCCCACAAGGGGAAAAAGAAAGCCACTAGATCTGGGACTCAAACCATAGTCAGCCATCATGTGGGAGTCCTCTGCCTTAACCACCATGCCACCTGCTGGCCCCTGTCTCCCAGTTTTAGTGGAGGTGAGTAAATCAGGTGCTTACCAAATAGGGACTCTTGAGAAAATCACAGTACGAGAGAGCTTTACCCCGCCGTGTGTTTTAAGTGGACCAGTCGCTGGTGACCGGGCTTGCGGTGGTGAATGGAAAGGCTCATAACAGCTCTGGGACGTGAGGACTCAGGATGGGTTATCGCTGTGGTCATCTTTGCCCAGAGGCCACTGTTCGCCGTCTAACGACATTGGTTCTTCTTAGGGGGACATGGCTGTCTGGTCTGAGTGATGCGGGTTGCTCTTCTCATGAGACCAGCCCAGGACAACTCAGCATTTTTGGGGGAAAGCAAAGGAGGGCGTCTTTGGGTATCCTGAGAGCCACAGGGCACATCACTGGTACAGCCCTGTGTCCCACCACGACAGATCTGCTCTTCTGGTTGCTGTGGGCAGGCCCAGGGGCCGAGGCCACCCACGAGGGGATGAGTAGAGACAAGCTGCCCAGTGAAGTTATTGACACACGCGACAGCCCCCAGCCCACTACCTGAGATCGCCCGTATGCAGGTCCCCAGCCCCGATGTCATCCCCCTTGTCACCAGGAGGAACTGCCCCTAGTTTGTCCCAGAGCAGGAAAGGTCTGGAGGTGAAGAGGGTCTTCCTGGAAACTTCGTCCCTCCTTGCAGGCATCTCCTGAATTCCTCAGCACTTAGGGCCAGGTCTAGAAATGTATTTCGATAGTTTTCTATTCTCAAGCTTAATATCCCGAAACGATCTGTCTGGGGGGGCGGGGCTGTTCGTTCTTTCACCCGAGAGCTCACGCATTGTCATGGAAACAGTACTTGCTAGCCGTGTGCCTTGAACAAGCCGATGACCTCTCAGGAGTGTTTTCTGTCAGGTGCTGTCAGTTTTCTGTCAGGTCTGGTGCTGCCTCCCCTTGGGTGGTTGAAAGTGTACAATTAGGTAACGAAAGAGGAGGAAGCCAGCAAGGGTCCTGGCACCAGGGTTTTGAGGCTATCACCCCAAGGTTGCCCCTTCGTGAGACAGAAGACGAGGCCGTCTCTCATCAGCTGCACAAGTGGTCGCCCGACCTCTCCGCCGCCATTAGCAGGATGTAGCATGCCTTGAGCACAAGTGAGTTCTGGTATCTCACAGGGAGCAGAGCCCTTTGTAAACTGCTTTGGTGGTTGTGGAAGGATGTGCATGCATGCGTGCGCAAGTGTCTGTCTTTAAGGTACGGTAGCTTGTGAAGGCACTAAGGATGCACCCTAAGTCCCCGTTGCTCTTTGCTGCCCCATGCCAGGTGCGCTACCTTCTGGAGTGGACGGAGGAAGACCTGGATGACGTGGAGGAGACTGTCAGCACGGCGGAGCTTGGATTCTGCCACCCCCTGTGCCAGTGCCCCAAGTGCGCTCCAGCCCAGAAGGTCTGGCTTGGCTTCTGTGGGCCGGGGAGGGAGTCGGGAGGCAGTTCTTTTTCCTTCCCCATAGGGGAGTGATCAGTCAGGTAATTACTGAGTGGCTATTAATAGGTACCCCCTGAGACACTGCAAGCATTAATTAGCTCAGAGAGGCACTGACATGGGAGCAGGATGTGGCTTGGGCTGCCGGCTCTGTGAACGGGCGGGAAAGTGAGCAGGGACGTGCCCGTGCCCAGGGTTTCTGCTGCTCTCTGGGCCCGAGCCTCGAGGCAGGAGTTAATGAACAGACACGCGTGAGGGCCCTGTCCGTGTGGCTGGAGTTTCCTGGGGAGGCTGCACGTGTGTTCCGTCGTTGCCTTTGCTCATGTTGGTCACCCTGGTGGAGACCTCCCTCTGAGTACATAGAAGTTCCTTCGACCCTGCACCCAGTTTCCCCTAGTGGTCATCTTGGGAAACTATAGTACAAAATCACAATTAGGATACTGGCATTGATTCCAACCATTGGTCTTTTTTTTTTTTAAAGAGAGAGAGATTTTTGCTATAAGGCACATGCGCTTACCGGAAAGACAGAGAGACAGAGACACAGAAAGCGAGAAACCACCTACCGTCCCGGGCTGGGGGATGGCCACGCCACAATCCCTTCTCCTCCATTCTCCTCTTGGGATTTTGGGTATCCACGCACACCTGGTGTGAGTTTTAAAACGCCAGGTCCAGGACTCAAACTGTGGTCGACTGTGTGGGAGTTCAATGACGTGACCATTACGCCATCCGCTGGTCCTTCAATCCATTGGTCTTAATTGAGGTTTCTCCAGTTTTACTTGTACTCATCTATGTGTGCATGTGTGTGTGTCTGTGTACTTAGTTCCATATCGTTTTTTAAAAGAAGTTTTTTTTTTTTCTTTTCTTTTTTTAGAGAGGTTTTTGCTATAGGGCGCGTGCGCTCGCCAGACAGACAGACAGAGACATAGAGACAGAAAGCAAGAAACCACCCCCCAGGGGGG